TCTTCTTACTCACCTCGTATATGAGACAGCTCAGGGATCCAGCATGAACACCTCATGCACCCCGTTATTATTCCTTTCCAAAAGTTCCCATTGGATCTGCTTCAGGACACCGCACTACCCCTCCCTGATCAACTCTTACTTTCTCTGTCTATGTAACAGAAAGAGAGTGATGTCATGTGCCACCACTACCAGCTTCACATATACTGTTCATATCTTCCTGTCCCACATTCATATCTGGAAAAAGCACAGGATTCTCAAAACAAAAGGAAAACTCAGGCCAAATAATGGTCATGATAAAAGCTTCCTATTTCCCTAATGTAATAGGAATCATTCACTGTCACTCTCATCAGATTGACAGCTCTATCATCTCTAAGGGAAATAACTGTACCAACCAGGCAGCTAGGACCAGGGCAGTCTAGATACCAGAATCATGTCTTTCACCACAGGCAATACAAATATTTCAACCCACATCCTCACAGTCATCTCCTGTCACTAGGCCAATTCTGTCCTATCTATACCAGCACATTCACCCTAATAGTCTTGCTCTTTCTCATTTCATAGCCAGAAACTATAGCCTACCTGCAGTGGAATGTTGTGTATGCTCTGAGTGCATTGCTCTGATTGGTTAATAAATAAAGTACTGATTTTCCAGTAGCGAGGCAGTAAGTACAGCCAGGACAAAGAGAGAGGAGAATTCATGGAAATGGAAAGCTGAGTGAGGGAGATACTGCCAGAAGCCATGATGAGAAGCAACATGTAATGATTCTGGTAATCCAGACATCACATGGCAACTTACAGATTAATAGAAAGGGGCTAATTTAATATATAAGAATAGCTAAGAAGAATCCTGAACCATTAGGTAATACAATTTGTAAATAATATAAGTCTCAGTGTGTTTCCTTGTGTCTGAGGTCAGCAGGAGTTGGGCAGAAATAGGATAACTTCAGATTCAAATGGCACACAACTGCTTGAGTTTTCACCTGAAACTTGAAAATAACCAATTCTAAAAGGAGCAGGAACCATGTCTCATGTGGGTAGTGAGATACTGCAACATGTGGGCTTGAATTACTCTATGGTGGGTTCCACGCATGTGGCCTTGACCTATTCCCACTGAGTTACACACTTTTCTGTTAGACAATACAGCCTCAAGGACTACCCATTAATCCTAAAATTTTCTCATATCCCCATAAGAATGCAGCACCCTCATCTAGCAGGAAATATTTTGAGAAGCTACATCCAAATTCCCAAATATACCAAGGTGGCATTGGAAGTGATATTACCTCTCTCATTCTCTAAAACCAATCATATTGCTAAAACAAAGGTTGAAAGATTATTTTGTCCCATAAAGAGCCCTCTGGTGGGGGATATAAAAAAAGCAATATTTTTATTTAAAAAGGGTTGATTTCAAATGCAATATCTTTCTAAAAATAAAAATGGGGGATAGGATCAAGATATGATAGGAAGAAAGGGTAGATTATTGAATCTACTTTCTAAGAACATCTTGTTTAAAATGTTTTACATTGCTATAGATTTCAGTTATTGACACAAGTTTAAACTTAATTCTTTTATAGTGTGTACATATTTCAAGTCTTCTTTAAGATATTATGTTTATGAATCTCATTTAGACTATACTGGATAATTAAAAACTGCAGATTAATAACTAGACTTCTATGATAGTCAAACTTATATTCATGTTAAGTTTTCTAGGTATACATAGACATAATTCAGTTAGGTAGGCAAACTTCAAACACTTCAAAGACCTAAAGAATATGGCATATAAAATATTTTTAAAATTTGGAAGGTCAGTACAGTGAGACATGTCTGCTGCTTGTGTCAACAATTTACTTCCGAGAAGAGGATGGGCATTGAAGACATTCTATATTGAGTTTATCTTCTCCTTGGCAAAAAAATATCCATTTGGGCAAGAAACTGTTCTTGCCTGGACTAATTGAAATAATGTATGACAGGACATGCAGAAACCACAGGAAGGTGACCACTGAACTTTGTTTGGCAAAATGGTCCTTTAGGTCCCTGCTTCATAGAGGATACTGCCTGATATTCTACCAATAAAATTCGGATAGCAGAGTTCCATAAATTTATAATATCATGTCAACCAGATGAGTATTTTAAATTCCCTCTGTTTGTCCAGTAATATGTTTAAAAATACTTCCAACTGTATAGAGTCACGTTGGAACTACAGAGACAGTTTAAATCATTCACTTCAGAATTGTATCATTCAAAGTTTTTTTTTTTTTTTAAATCAGGATATTCCTTGCACCATGTAGAACCCCATGTGGACCTCCCCCAATAATTTTTTCCTAAACTTTCTCTTCTGCCTGAACAGCAGCTTGTCAGATTCTCACAGCAAATCCAAGAAGCATTGGAATAGTCCTAAGAGTATAAACTGTGGAACACAATTAGCTGTATCACAATGCCCAGCTACCTCAAAATCTCCCCTTCTATACTCACAAAGTTAAACAATGCACAATTCCCAAGATGAAAGCATTTCTGGGAGACTATCTGTCCCCATGCTCATTTACCTTTAT